TTTGGGGTCACATATCAGATATTCTGCATATCAGATACTTACATTATGATTCATAACAGTAGTAAAATTACAGTTAGGTAGCAAGAAAAATAATTTTATGGATGGAGTTACCACAATATGAGAAACTGTTTTAAAGGGTCATAGCATTTAGGAAAGTTGAGAACCATTAGTTCAGTGGCTTAAAAATGCCCCATGAGGGCTGGAGAGATGGCCCAGCAGTTAAGAGCACTGACTGCTCTTCCAAAGATCCTGGGTTCAGTTCCCAGCAACCACATGGTGGCTTACAACCATCTGTAATGGGATCTGATGCCCCTTCTGGTGTGTCTGAAGACAGCTACAGTGTACTTATATAAATAAAATAAATAAATAAATGTTTAAAAAATGTCCTATGAACCTGTTATACTCAAACCTCTTCTTGCCTAGCATTCTTTCCCATTAAGAAGACATAGTGACCTATTCCAATATTCAGCACAATTTGTGACCAAAGTTCAAATATGGCTAGGGCCTTGGGACAATAATCACGATAGTAGTGGGAAGACACAATGATACACAAAATAATTTGTAGGAATTATCCATATGCATAGATTTGCAAGTGTTTGACAAGGCACAAAAGTAGGATTTGGATCATGAGGCATCAATTGCTATGGCAGCCCTCTTCTGAGACACAATGTAGAACTCTTTACTGCAGGATGAAACTGAATGGTTGCTAGGGAGACTCACTCTAACTTGGGGTGAGCAAGAAAGCACATAAAGAGCAGAGACCAAAAGGACTGTCCAGTGCTCGTGTTGCAGCGATAATGCAATCCTGCAGGGATGCCTTGGAACGGAAGTGTGGTCATGATTCCAGGTCCTTCCCCTTATCACCATGCATATCCTCATGAAGAATAAACCATGCTTACAACAATATGTGGTTACAATCTCTTCTCAGAGACAGAAGAGCCAAACAAGATCAGGGAGGGAATCTACACAGATGAGAGGGAAAGCAGGGACTGGGAGGCTAGAAGTAGGAAGGTTTGCTATATTTTGTACTGATTATCTTAAAAAAATACTTATCACTTTTAGTCTTGAAAACTTTTCTTTTCTTTTTTTTTTTTTTTTTTTTTTTTTTTTGGTTTTTCGAGACAGGGTTTCTCTGTGTAGCCCGGGCTGTCCTGGAACTCACTCTGTAGACCAGGCTAGCCTCAAACTCAGAAATCCGCCTGCCTCTGCCACTCAAGTGCTGGGATTAAAGGTGTGAGGCACCACTGCCCAGCTACATGATATTCTTTCTTATTGCTTTTTCTTCCGTAGAATGATACATCATAATCCTGTGGCTCTAATGGGCAATCAGAGCCAACAAGCACATGGGGAGATGAGAAGACATACAAAAACCCCAGAGCTTGGCTTTTACTCCCTTTCTTTTGGTGAATTTCCCCCACCACTCAACTGTGGATGTTTGCAAATAATCCACCCTCTTTCTCTTCAGAGTCATAATTTCCTCCTCCAATCTGACATGGATCCACTCCTAAATGTTCGCCAACTGCTTAATTCTTTTCCATTTTGAATGTTAGACTCCTCATTCCCTAATTGGACCTGTACTAATACCTAAAAGTCAATGTGATTAAAGTGGACACACACACACAACACACACACTCATACATATTCACACACATACATTCACAGACATTCACACACACACACACACACTTACACTTTAAATATTTATTTTGAAGGCAAGGTCTCACTATAGTGTTCAGGTTGGCCTCAATTCACTATGTAATCCAGAGTGGTCTTGAGCTCTTGAGCCTCCTCTTTAGCCTCTGGAGGTAGTTTGGGATTCAGGCACGTGCCCAGCTACGTCTGAGGTAGTCAGGTTTTCCGTTAGCTCCTCCCAGGTTCTAGCATCATCATATGGTTCATTGCCTTTACCTTTGGTTTTACTTTCAAAATGTTTTAATAATAAAATATTTAATATTGCCATATTTACTCCAAGATTAAAAACCCCTTCAGGCTACATCTGGAGGCCCCCTTAGTACCCAGCTTGCCTCACTGAAGGAGGCAGCCATTCCATTGTTCTGAAGTTAGTTCTTCTCAGAAGCAGATGCAAGGTGAGGGTTGATGAGTGCACATGGCTGATTTGGGAGGATAAGGGAGAGGGACCTGGGTCAGGAGAAGAAAGGCAGCCACTCTGTGGGCACCCGCAGCTTGTTCTGTGGGGAAGCTCTGGGAAACATCTTGGTGATGCAGAATGGACCCTGTGCCCACTGCTCACTGCATTTCCAATCTATCTGAGAGAGCAGGGGCTCTGGCTGAGAGCAGCTTCTTGACAAAGATGATGGCTGCTGAAAATTAGGATGTGTGCACAAAAATATCATGGGATACAAAGCGACATGGGTAGAACCCTGAGAACATCTACAACAATGGGGATCTATCCCTCAGATGTTTACTTTCCCAGAGTTAAATATCGTCATTCTTTATGGTAACTGTCAATGCCACTAGCAATGATTATGGGAAAATGGCTATAAGTGAAAACAGGTTTTAAGATTTTTATTTGTAGTCAATGCAGAAAGGGAGGATGGGGTAAGAGACACGGCTCAGTCATTAAGAGCACGTTCCACTCTTGAAGAACTGAGTTCAGTTCTCAGCACCCAAGCTGGGTGGCACACAACCTCTATAACTTTAGCTCCAGGGATCTAACTGCCTCTCTGGACTCTGTGGGCACCAGGCAAGAATATGCACATATCTACACCAATATACACACATATACACATAATCAAATAAAACCCCAAAACATCTTTAAAAAAATTAAAAGGAAGCTACTTCAGTTTAAAGAGTTGTTTAACTATTTGTTGAATTTATGTCATGAACTTGATGGGTTCCCCTTAATAGAAATAAAGGCAAAGAAACAAATCACATACCATGATTATTTTTGCTTGCATTCATACCTCCTTAGACTTTGACAAAATATAATTTTCTCCCTTGTCTATTCTCCTGTCTCTCCTGCTTCAAGTGTGCAGGCTGTTAGGCTGAAATTGTGGCTAATAGATTTCAGGTCTTGGCTAAGAAGGTTATATACAATCTAAAGTCTCTTCTTAGCTGCAATTCATTGGCCTTTCTGTTGAAATGAGGTCTGTGTGTGGTAGGGTTGGGGGAAGAGTACCACAGTGAGATCAATCCCAGCCCCAATGACACTGGCTATCGACAAGTGTACAAGTCCCTCAGCAAAGCCAGGAATGCTTTTGTTGTTAGTGTTCCTGACTACCAAAGGACCTCAAAAGAAACCAAATAAAGCCACAAAACAATAAGGTTCCTATTTCTTTTTGCAGGGACCAAAGGGATTTAAAATAATCTTTAAGTAATACTTTTCACAGACCCCAACACTGGTTAAACACAGACTTCCCTATTTAAGAACTAGCAGCCAGGGCTGGAGAGATGGCTCAGAGGGCTGGAGAGATGGCTCAGAGGTTAAGAGCACTGACTGCTCTTTCGGAGGTCCTGAGTTCGATTCCCAGCAACCACATGGTGGCTCACAACCATCTGTAATGGGACCCAGTACCCTCTTCTGATGTATCTGAAGGCAGCTACAGTGTACTCATATAAAATAAATAAATAAATAAATAAATCTTTAAAAAAAAACCCTAGCAGGCAGAAAAATGTTCCACAGTTTAAAAGACCCAGTAGTCCAGTAGACGATTCTAAAGAAACAGAAAAGTCACTTGTGTAAAACTAATGCTGTTAAACATTGGAAAAGATCTGAGCCAGCTGTGGTGGAGCACACTCGTAGTCCTGGCTACTCTAGAGGACCACAGCAACTCATGAGTGTGAGACCAGCAAGGCTCTGTCTCAAAAACAACAAAAGTGAAGTTTCACACTGAGAGTCAGGAAGATAGCCAACGAATCTCATGTTTCAGAAGTGATTGTAGAATTTGAAAGCCTAGGTATAATAGTGAACTATAGAGTGGACTTAGATTAGAAATCATTCAACTAGAAAATTAATGTTGTAGAATATATTGGTAAAGACTAACTTCTGGGAGCCACATAAATCTCATATTTAAAATAGTAGTAGTGGGGGCTAAGGAGCTGACTTAGTGGTTACAGTGCAAGTGTGAATCCTAAAGTTCGAATCCTCAGAAACCTATGTAAATGCCCAGTGGTTGCGCTTCTGAAGGCAGAGACAAGGAATCCTCAGAGCAAGGTTAGCCATATCAGTGAGCTCTGGATTTGATGGAGAGACCCTACTTCAAAGAATAAGGTGGAAAAGGTGACTAAGGATGGTTCCTAACATCAACCTTAGGCTTTTACATGTGCATAACACACATACACACATACACACATGCATACAAATACATACATATATACACAGGAAAAAGTAAGTGAAAGCAGTAATGTTTCTACAAAGTAATTTTCAACTTGGTTCCATTTTCATAGACAATTAATAAAAGTCGAGCTGGGAGATAGCACAGTCAGAATGGTCCTTGTCCCACGAGCATAAATACATGAGCTCAAACTCCAGAACCCACATGAAGAAGCTGGGCACAGTGCTGTATGCTTATAGCCCCAGTGCTGGGGAACTGAAGACAGGACGGTCCCTGGGGCTCATTGGCCACCCAGCCTAGTCTTCTTGGTAAGCTCTAGGTTAGTGAAAGCCTCTCTTCAAAACCAAGGATGGCTCCTATGGAACAGCACCTGGGGTTGTCCTCTGACCTCCACATGCACCCTTGAGGACATGTATACCCACATGGACACACAACACTTTAAAAGTAAATAAGAAAACACACTATGTGCAAGTAGTTTACATTATGTGTAAACAGTATGTAATATATATCACATACAACCACTGTTCACATCCTTAAAAACTGTTTTAGTTATTCCACAAGAAACTTTGACTCCTCTTATAGAAAACAACACAAAATTGGTGTAAAATGCCAGGAAGACACGGGATCCTCAAAGCCAGAGGCTGTGTGTTTATCCCATCAGCCTCTGTCTAGGAAACAGGAGTCTTATATTTGATGTATACTTACATTGTACAGTGGGATAGTTTTCATCACCTTGTACTGCTTAGTGGGGTCCATTTTATACAGGTGACGGTCAGTGACAAAAATTGCTCGGTCTTCTACCTTACTAAATCGATTCACCTGTAAAAAAACAAACAAAGAAACCAACCAATAAGCTATAGTATCTCATGGAGAAGGGAACCAAGTTACATTTAAAAATACCTAGGTTCAGAGGTGCTGACTATGTAGATGAAGTCTTGGTAGACTGTCACCATGGATGGCACGCTATGATCTCAAAGGAATGGCAGTTTCCAAATATGTAGAGTTTGACAATAAAATTTTTTATAGTTTGTCAGGGAAAACATGGCAAATGTAGAACTTGGCAACTAGGAATATAAAATCTAGACCCCATCAAGGAGGTGAATAGAACACCTATAGATGGAGAGAAAAGCTTCTATGAATCATGTGTCTGATAAGGGAATGTATCTAGAACATATTAAGAACTAATTTAACTCAGCAATTAACAGGTCATCCAATTGATAACATTTATGTCAGAAGCTCCGGGCTATCGTAAGAAGCTGGGATCAGTATTTGGAAATGAGAGTAATAAGCAAGGACTGAAAATAATATCACAGAAAAAAAATGAAAATGATATTATGAAAAAATATACATGTTTCTTCAGAATGTCTTAGGAAGAGGGCCAGAATGCCTGACTTTTCAGATACTTTTTTTTTACCCTAAGAGATAAAATTAACCATAGGACATTGTACAAACTATGGCTACTTATTTGTTAGGATATTTCAGGTAACATTTTAGTCAATGTACCTGGATTAACATTTAGAAACATGTTTATTTATTTTTCAGTTATTTCTTTAATGTGTATGTGTGTGCTGTGTGAGTTTATTTATATGTACTATGTGTGTACAGGTGCCTTTGCAGGCCAGAGGGTGTGGATCCCCTGGAACCAGAGTTACAGGCAGTTGTGAGCTGAATGATGTAGGTATTAGAAGCTGGATCCTCTGAAGACCAGCACGTGCTCTTAACCTCTGAGCTCTCTCTCCAGCCACAAGGTTTTTCTGAACTTCTACGTTGTCAAGCTTCTCATGCACTGAGAAAGACAAGCAGACAAAGCAAGCACAAGAAGCTTTTCCCCCAACAGAAGGCATCTCGAGATATGTCATATATGTTCTCTCTACATCCTTTACTCCCCCCATTCTTATTTCCAAGATACCAACAAAAAAGTTAGAGGTTAATCTGAAAACACTGTGCTTTGGTAGGATATTCAGATAGCTGCATACAGACAGGCAGGGCTACCGACAGAATGCAGTAAACTAAGATTCAAACTTGACATGAAATTTATCATCTCTCTTTCCTTGGTTTTAGCCTTTAGTCAATTCTCTAAACATTTATTGTATAAAAAAGCATAATTTTTAGTCTTCAACATGACAGTAAGTGTGCCTCTGATTAAGAGTGTACATGGTACAGTTTGTATGCTTGCAGATAACTTTGTACAGCCTCTGTTTTTGCCCTGACAGACATCTGCTACTTCCTAGAAGATCTGAAGCACTGAGTGTGAAGATCCTCTTAGCTGCTCTGCACAGTACTGGCTATATGCAGAACTTTGTAAGAAAGGGTCCCATGCCTTGATGGATGAATAAACACTGCAGACCACAGCTCTCGCTATGATATCTATAACCCAGAAAGTTACCAAAGGTTCTGAGAATTCTGCATTAAAGTAGTGTGCTTAACCCAGCTTTCCCACAGTACATTTAATCTACATAATCCTTTTTGAACAAATACCTACTGACTCTTAAAAAAAAATGTGGTTCTGCGGCAAACATTTTGGAGAACATTCATCATCATTTTCATCAACCTTATACTATGTAGAACAGAGAACACCTAGCATAGAAACTGAAAAATAAGTGGAGATGATTTCCTCATCTTTTATGGAATCATTTGGAGAAAAAAAACCACAGAGGTGCAAGAGAATATAATATTAAAACCCTGTTTATACAATCTCACAAAGTCATTAGCATTGAGAAAAAAAGATCACAGATACTTTTTAAGATATATAATGAGTTAATCTAAAAACAAGAGAAAAAAGCCACCTCAAAGCAGACAGAAGCCATTCAGAAATATTCTTCATATGAACAAATATTTACCTTCTATCTCAGCAGCTCAAATCTTAAAACAAGAATCAGGTAAGTGTGAAAGTCATCAAGTCTAAGAGCATAACAGCTGTAGATTGCTTAACTCGGCTCTATCGACACAGAAATGAAAAATTCAACACACACAGGTGAACCCTCCCTTAACACTGTTATGGTATGGGAACACTACTATTGTTTCATATTGATTTTCGTGAAGTGATAGCAAAGCTGGACTGCAGACTCAGAGTTAGATACAATTTCACCTTGTTTCTTGTACTCAAAGTTAAAATCCTCACTCCAGGAAAAAATTCCTAGCTTTCTGCTTTCTCTAGCCTCGTTAAGGCAGCTGTTCATAGTTTCAGTTATTTCCACAGGGGGTCAGAGATAAGGTTGCTGCAGAGTCAGAACAGAACGGAGCATAGTGGTGAGAGGAGCTATTTGCAGTAGTCTCTCACCTTAACAAACACTTTATAAAAACCGCTGTTAATGGAAAGCAGCTGCTTCAAAATAATCAACGCACCAGGAGGAAGGCTCTTTGGAAGCATACCAAATTTGCCTTGGTGTACCTTTGGGATTCAAAGATTCTACAGAGGGCATAATCTAAGCAAGCATGAAGAAGGGTGTTTGTACTAAACTTAGACATACAGGGCCATCAGCAAGACTTCTTCAGTGATTACTCACCAGAACCCAGAATGAAACTGTCAGGCATTAAACTGTCCTCCCTGGAATGAGAAGCATCGCAGCAGGCTTTTCTACAGATGGCCAGTGTCTCAGAACCACCTGACTCTCTCTGACTGTTCCGACTGCCAGAGAGCATGATACCAGAAACAAGAGTGGGCACAACCTCCCTCCCTAGGTGGTGGGTGTGAGTATATCCCTGTGTTGCGGTCACAGATAGGAAGTATGACAGAAACTTTTCATGGGGATGTGTACATTGGAAAAAGAAAGCCTCCTTTTGATCGTGTGATTAGCCCTAGGTATAGTCAATAAAATGGAGTTCCTGGGTTTCAGAGTTCAGAACTCACAACTGGAATGTGGAGACCAGCTGATGATACTTTAAACTTTCCTCAATGACATTTGTTTCAGTCTAAGTCATTGTCCTGTTGTACATATCGCTTGGACTCGAACTCTTCTTTAGAATGGTCAAACTGCATGTGTGAAGTCTGAAACATTCTGAATGCCATGCCAGCACTCAAGATGGTCAGGTTTCACAATGCTTCAGATTCTGAATGTTCAACCTGTCCTATTGCTCCTGGCTCCCAATACAAAGTTCACAAAACCCTTGTAACAGGAGTCATGGAGGCTGGTTGCCAAGACCAAGGCATGATTAGAAGGCTGACCCCTGTCTCATTCAGGAGCTCTCCCCAGCAACCACCTTCAGAGGAGAGGGAGGAGAAAGGCTAAGGCTAGGGACTAAGCTAATTACCAGCCACCAGTGACTTAAACAGTCCTGCCTATGGAATGAAACTTCCAGGAGGTTTGGAGAGCTTCCCAGATGGTAAAAGCTTCCTCGGGGCCAGGAGGGCACAACATTTCCCTCTAATTGGGGTGGCTAGACGATTGACATTTAATATGATGGTCAATAAGGTTAGGTTTAAATTTATCATCTGTCAGTTTATTTATTCGTCCCACTTGTTCTTTGTTCTCTGTCGCACATTTTTAAATTTGCGTTCATTGAGTTTTTGTTTGCAATTTTTTTTTGACAAATTCTGGGGAATGAAATTTAGGTCCTTAACATGTTAGGCAAGTGCTCTTCCACGGAGTCCCACTCTCTTAGCTTCTTCTCCCTTTCTTTTGGTTTTAAGATTTATTTTATACAGTTTATGCAGTTAAGATGTTAATAAATCTTCTAACTAAGATTGACTTTATGTCAGTTTGTTTTTATTCTGTGCGCATGTGTTGAAGGTGCACATGTGGACATCTTTGTGGCCTCCTCTACCTCCTTTCACCTTTACTTGGGTTTGAGGGATTGACCTCACAAGACACCAGCACTAGGCAGCAAACACCTTTCCCATCTGAGCCATTCCAGTCCAAATCCACTAACCTTTCTTCTGCAAAGTCTAACTTCCTGTTAATCTTACTGACTGCATTTTCTTTCAGGTTTATAAATGTAAATGTAGGTCATTTAAGAGTCTTCTATGTATTTATTAAACATGTCCAATCTTTCCTCAAGCTTTTTTGAATATATAAAATAGAATGCTAGTAATTGCCTCAATAATCTTGTCTGTGTCTTCTTGGATGACTGAGTTTTGATTTCTTTATGAATTCAATGTTTTGTTTGTAAGCTTGCTGACTGGATGTCATGCATTCTGACTTTTACCTCTGAGTGCTGGATATTTCTATGCTTCTGGAAACTTTTTTGAGCTTTCTCTTATGTGCTGTTAGGCCACTTAGAGACTTTGATCCTTTCTAGAAGTGCTTTTAAGGTTAGTTCTGGAGGATAGAAGGGGCTATTTACTTCTACAGTGCTGCAGATCCTTGACAGTGCTCTACCTAGCGTTCCTCAGGTCTCTAGCTTGGCTGGAAGATTCAGGCACTGGACAACCTAACTGAGCACCAGCATGTGATTCCCTCTCCTTTGGGGATGGTGGGTCTCATCCAGTCTAGAGTGGTCTCCTTCTGTATGTGTCTGAGCAGTATGTACTTGATGTCTACACCAGACCCTCGAAAGATCTAACAATTCTTTCCACACAGGATTCTCCTCTCTTCTGTTCATCTACTCTTCTCTACTTCTCTGGAGGTCTGCTCTCAGCTGTGTTTTCAATTAGGGAATCCACTGGGCTCTCATGGCTCCTCTGAGACAATGGCTGTCTAATGGGGTTGGTCAGTCTCTTCCCTTTTCCCTTTTCTTCTGTGGTGTGAGGATAGACTGTAGCCTTGCACATGCTGGGGTAGTCTTCTGCTACTGCTATGCCCCAGCTCACTGCACTTTTTCTTGTATTTCAGGGATCTTTGTCTTTTCCTTGCTGAAACTCACTATCTTAAAATCCATCATTTGATTTTTCTTGTCTCTTCCCTTCCCACTTGTAGTCTTTCTCCATTCATTTAAAACAGCTACACTACAGTCACAATTTACTAAACAAACTTTTATCAGGTACTACAAACTTATATGTACAGCTGTACAAATATATTTGTAAGGAAATCTGAGTTGTGGAGTTTGAGGGTAAGCAGGTATGGATATTTAAAATCTTGGTAGATCTTCCAAATTGCCCACTCAAAACTATCTTAGATCCAGGCAGCAGTGTCCCCTAAATCCCTGGAATCACTCCTTACTATCATCATTCTAGAGACTGCCAGATTTATAGCTGGAGAACCACATTTCATTACTCTGATTTGAATCATATACTAGAACTAAGTATTTTTCTTAAAATTTGAAATAAAGTGGTTTTTCTGAGGTCTTTGCTAACTTTTTGAATTTTTCTTTGTATGGTGCTATATTGACAACAGTATCTTTTGTTAAGCTAATGCATGATTTCATTCATATATGGAATTGTGTTGGGATTACTTTATAAGCTTCTTTTTTATAATGACTCTCATTTCTTCTGTCTGTATTTTTTAAATATTTATTTTTAAATTATATGTATGCATGTGTGTCTGTGAGCACAGGTGCTCATGCAGCCAGCGACATCAAATGCCCCTAGAGCTAGAGTTACAGGTGGTGAGCTGCCTGACACAGGTGCTAAAACCAAACTCAGATTCTCGGGAAGAGCAGCAGGTTCTTGAACTGCTGAGCCATCTCTCTAGCTCCTGAAAATCTAGTTTTAAAGCAGCCATGACACTTGTATAAAGGCAATAAATACCCACTCAATAAAGAGCCGACCTGTAGGTTGCTATGAGGGACATACATGTAGTATAATACAAATCCTTGGCCTGAAGGAAGCACTAAAGCTGTTTACAAAAGGAATGCTGACCAAGCTGGGCAAGGTGGCACATACCTGAAAACAGCCCTGAAGAGGCAGAGGCAGGGAGACTAGGAAGGAGGTCAAGCCTACCCTTGGCTACATAGTGATTCTGACGCCAGCCTTGACTTTATAAGACCCTGTCTCAAAAACATAAATGAAAAAAAAAAAAGGTATCAAAGACCGCCCTCTTCCCTCAGGGAGGTTTTATTAGCAAAACTCTAGATTGTCAAGTCAGGCTTTCCAACACATTCGTAGCATAGACGGGCAGCTCACTGGGCTGCTCCCAGCTGCATGATACTGCTATTTTCACTGAGGACTACCTATGTGTTTCCTCTGTTTTCTCCCTCCAGGATAGTCTGGTTCAAAAGCTACTTACCTTTCGGACATGACAGGAAAAGAGAACGTTCATATATTTGTCCTTGCGTTTCAGTTCATTAGCAACTGGGACAAAAGTGCCTGAGGTCTGAGGTGTATCTGGCTTCTGAAGGAACAAGAGAACAGCATTCTTAGACTGTAGATGCTAAGGTAACTGCTCAGTCTACTGCATTACAACTATACACACAGTTTCACATGCACCCTTTTATCTATCTGCCCGTCAAGATGTTAGACTAGCAAAGGGTAGTACCATATCAAAGGGCCAATAAAATCAATAAATTAGGCTGTAAGAGAGAAGAGGAAACAGAGCTTTGAGAATGATATAATGTTTATAATTAAAAATGGCTGCTGAAGCTGGGTGTTGTGGTGCATGCCTTTGATCATAGCATTCTTGAGGCAGAGGCAGGTGGATTTCTGTGAGTTCGAGACTAGTCTGGTTTACACAGTGAGTTCCAGGGCAGCTGGAGCTATGTAGTGAGGCTGCTTAATAGTGGTCAAAGACCAAGTTATAGAGTATGGTAATATATGTGCTATAACCCCTTTCAAAGCAGATGATGGATGCATCAAGCAATGGATCTTTTAACTGAGCACCTCAGAGAAATTACCTAGTTTCTCTATAAGGTATTAATTTTGCTTTACAGTGCTGAGGCTGGAACCTAGGCCTTAAATATCCACCTCTTTTCTGTAAATCTTTTTTTTTTTTAAAGATTTATTTATTTATTTTATTTATGAGTACACTGTAGCTGTCTTCAGACACACCAGAAGAGGGCATCCAATCTCATTACGGATGGTTTTGAGCCACCATGTGGTTGCTGGGATTTGAACTCAGGACCTCTGGAAGAGCAGTCAGTGCTCTTAACTGCTGAGCCATCTCTCCAGCCCTTTTCTGTAAATTCTTAGGGAAACATTCTTTCTTTCCAGAGCTGCATGAATTCAGACTATTCTTCTGGACTTACCGAAGCAAGATAGTTGCCTTCCCAGGCCCTCTGGAGTCCAAGGTCTGCCCTTTGACCTTTCAACATCTCCATGGCTGCAACCTTTGCCCTGACCTGGGGAAGGTCTGATGCAGGTATGGTCTTGATGAGTTGGGATGCTCTCCATCTACAAGCAAATAAACAAGATGTATAGGCTTTAGACATTCATTCACTCCCCAAAGTGTTTCAAGCTGTCATTAAATAGCATGAAGTAATTGTACATTGTGATAAAAAAGGGAAAATGATTACAAAACCTATACAGAAGTTGCCAAAATATAATTTCCTGAAGACAAAAATTTTGTAACAGCTTCTTTGTTTGTGTGCTCTGAAGTGACTAGAACTCTGTGGCTTCCGGCTTTTACAATACCAGCTGGGCCCAAAACAACCCAACATCACAGGGGAAGCATTGCTATAAGTAAAACAGCCCAAGGAGCCTTCTTCCAGGTGCCTCTAAGAGTAACAGTCAAAAACCATGTGGGTGTGTGATGGGGGTGAATAGCTGCTGTTGAGTAGCTGCTAGTAGGGAAACAAGGGAGGAGAGCAGAGAGAGCCTTGGAAGGAAGAAGTGGGTGTGAAGGTGCTTCCATGGGTGGCTAGGGAGGGTCTTCTGGTAAGGATGGATGAATAGAGCCATAAGGAGGAAGCCAGATATATGGACAGCTGAGCAGGAGCATACCCAGAAGGGACCACAGTAAGGCAAGGGTTCTGAGACGGGGACTGCTCAGTGAGTTATGAGGAAAACCTGGGACCCTGACAAGCTGAAGTAGTATGGGGCAGGGAAAGGAAGAGAAGAGGTCAGAGGGAGAGCTAGGGCTAAATGAACCCACAGAGTCATGAGGGCATTATCAGGACTCTGGTCTCTACTCTGCATGAGGTGAGACGGCTCTGGAGGGTTCTGCAAAGAGACTAGATGACCTAGGACCACTGTCATCGCTATAGGCTAGGGTCAGGAAGACCTGTTAGGAGGCTATTTCTTTAAAACACACACCAGAGGAATGTGAATCAGGCTTGGGAGGCAGTGATGGAATCAGAGATAAGTGTTAGTCTAGATGCATTCTGGTGGAAGGGCCAATGGTATTTACAGATGGATTAGCTTGCTGGGAAGAGGAAGTTTAAGGATGACTCCAAGGGTTTTATCTGGGTTTGGCATCAGCATCTGTAAGCATAAAGCAAGAGTACTCTTGGTCGAAAAGAACAGCAGAAGAATTTTATGCTCCCCGCAGCAACTTTGTCTCTGTTCTCTTGTTCTCCTATGGTAGGTAGTGCCAATCAAGAAGGCTAAGAGCAATGAACTGTTTTTAATTGAATGAATAGTCAAGGTCAATGATTCCTAAACTATGTTCCTAAGGAACACTAGAGTAAGTTTCACCTAAAATAAAAATTTTCCACTGAAATAACCAACTAATGAAAGATTTAGAGAAAACCTAGACACTACGAGGACAAGGGATGGATGTCAGTATATTGCCTGTGAGGACTTTCTGGCAGACATGAGCAGGTGCTAATGAGAAGTAGCTCATTGTGGACCAGTGTGCTCATGTAAGGAGATCAACTCTCAGGAATAGGTTTTATGGCAAGACCCAGAAGACCTTGGGACCTGGGTGGCAGGGCCTGGGAGCAAGGGTAGGAGGTAATAGCTGTAATGAGTCATGGCTGGTAGGGTCAGACATGGTAGATCACAAAACACTAAAGAAATCACAAAGGCTCAGCACTATAGTGTGTGCCCCCCTCTGAATTTCAATGGCTTAACCAGCGCCCCATATGACACAGACTGCTCTGGGGACTTTGTTAAAGAGGCTAGAAGAGAAACAGTGGTCAAAGTTAAGGACAGTGGTGACAGGCAAAGCCCCACAGCACTAAGTAGCTTGCTCAACAATTGCCCCAGTAGTCCCTGGAGCTTCAGATTACAATGCTGGGAGAGTTTTTCCTCTGACTGTGCCCTTTCCTGCCCATGCGCCTGGCCACCATGTCTCTGCTTTATTTCCCACAATGGCCCAAGATAAGGCTCACAGTTGACTCTGTAGGCCCTCAGCACAGAAGCACACTTGGGCTTCAGGCATCTGGCCCGTTCAGCCATGGTGAGAGCCACATGTCTTCTTATTCTGGTCATACAAGCTACAGTACCTAAATTTGGATAGGCAACAACAGCTGCAGTCATAAAGACCAGCTACCTCAATTGACAGGAAAAGGACAAAAAAGTCTCAGCCACAAAAAGTTATTGTGAGGAGAAGGAATGATCTTAACACGATAAGGAAGAGCCAGGCATGATAACACAGGGCCGCAGTTCAGCACTTGGGAGGCAGAGGCAGGAGGATCAGATGATCAAGATCATCCTTGGCTACATAATAGAGTTTGAGTTTAGGTTATGTGAGACTCAGTCTCAAAACAAACAAACAAACCAACAAACAAACAAACAACAAAAAGCAAACAGAGAAAAATAAAATAACAAAATTAACATACATGGAGATTCCAGAAAGACAAAAAGAAACCCCACAGTAACACTGGAATTCTTTACCACACATCTCATAGAATTCCACAGAACAAAACATTCAAGACCAGGAGTTGATAAACTACAGCTTGCTTCAAATCTGGCCCGAGGTCTGTTTTTATACTGCTTGTGAGCTAGGAAGATTCTTTTACATTTTTACATGTTTAACACAACAAAGAATATGTGAGAGACCATATGTAGCCTGTAGCCTGCACAGCCCAAAATACTATAGGCCCTTTACAGAAAAATGTTTGCCTGACTAGATGAATACAAATGGCAAGATTCATTCAGGAGAGAGAGAGAGAGAGAGAGAGAGAGAGGGAGGGAGGGAGGGAGGGAGGGAGGGAGGGAGGGAGGGAGGGAGAATAGTATTTCCATGTATTCATCAACTATGATCCTTGTGAGGAGGTGGGACTGTCCTTCCTATTCTTCCCCATCATCTCTGTATCTCTAGAAGGCTGGTTAGTGCCTGCAAATCACCAGGTGTTCAGCAAATATTTGTTGGATGAGTAAATTTAATTTTATACAAATTAATTAGTTCTAGACTTAAAATGAAACATTAAAATTTAAAAAGAAGCCTGCTCAGGCCAGAGTACAATCTGAATTTAATCACAATCATTTATGGTCATCATAGATATTAAACAGGGGTATACATTGGTACAGCCACTATGGAAATCAGTGTAGATGTTGTCCAAAATAGAGCAATCACATGCACACGCATATGCTGGACCACTCCCGGGCATATATCTACAGAACCCCGCCTCTGACTACATAGATACTGGCATGTCCATGTTCAGTAGAAGTGGAATCCACATGGATGCCTAACAATGCATGGATAGTGAAGTTATGGTGTGTCTATATATACACACAAACTTTACTCAAGTATAAAGAAAAAGATGAAATACGTAGCAAAGTGGATAGAACTGGAAAACATTACTCTGCAAGAATCCAGACTCAGAAAGGCAACTATCCATGTTCTTTTTCATATCTGGGTCCATGGCATGTAGAGGTCAGGAAGCCAGACATGACTGTGGTGGTGGGGCATTAATAGGGAGAGGGGGTAGGAGAATATATAGGACAGGAAAAAAAAGGGGGCACATGGGAAGATACAGGTTTAAGTGGAGAATGGGAGAGTGGACTGGGCTAAACAAAACCAAGGATGCACTACTTTGTAAGCTAATTCAATACAATAAATACAATAAAATACATTTAAAAAGGGAGTTTGAATTAAAGTTCCATGTATATGTAGAAATGCTATTCACAGAAGACATGCATTATTAAGTGAAAAATTCAGTGCCAGGTATGGGACGCCTTCCTATGAGTTATCAATGAAGGAGGTTCCGGTCAGACCCTCACCAATAACACAGGCTCTCACTGTTTCTCAAGACTGCCCACCATAAGTAGTTGGTAACCCTACTGCTGAAGATACCACATACATTGGTTGTAGGACATAGAGACATGAACTTGGGACTGACAGGAAGCATCCTCCTTGATGACTAGCTTTTATAGTGCTAGAAGGTGCTAAGCAGGCCACAGGGAGAAAAAACATCAGCGGTCTTATCCAGTAAAGGACCTTGCATGCTATAGTATTAACCTGCAAGATGTGCCTCCTAATCCAAATGGTATGACTATTATACAGGGGCAACCAACCACCTTCTAAGTAGATTTGAGGCATTCTCCACAGGAGGGAATTTGTCCCTATACACCACTATAAACCTTGTCAAAAGCCTGTGGCTGGGGAGGCATTAGACCCTAGAGGGTTATAGGAGGAGCTAAGGTGGGAGGAGTAAGGAGAGGAAGAGGAGAAGGAAAAGGAGGATCTAGGAGAGACGGAGAATGAGAGAGGGGGACATGGAGGCAGATGTTTGCTTGTCTGTAGCGGTCGAAGGTAGTTGGTATATCTAGGTTGGGTATTGGGTTACACTTCTGATTGTATGGGCATCTTGTTATTGAGCATTACCAAACTTATAAAGCCTTTGATTAACATTTAAACATTAGAGTCTCATTTTCCTACTGGGCCCGCATGGATGGCAGGATGGTCTGGGCAATGTCCAGCCTTACGGAGACAGCGTGGAAGATTGGCAGAGCCATCTCCCATGCTAACGTCTTGTGGGTGGCACGGCTGGTGTTTCTGGATGGCCATTTCTAGTTGCAGTGTGCACGTGGCCTCAGGCTGAGATACATGGCAGCTGAGCTAGGCAGAGCTGCCACAGCTTAGATAGTCGGCTTGACCAGTGGCCGATTTTAATTAATTATTGCAACAGGGGGGAACTTACTATTACTGTTTTTTTTTAAATGATTATGTCATCAAATTGCTTCCTAAATATTTATATTTGTACCCATAGATTTGCTGCTTTCAACTTCAGTCATAAAAGTTTCTTTTTGCAGTGGGTAATGGCTAATGCAGATATTTATAACTGGTTAAGGGATGAAAATAAGTGACTTTGAATGCTCAGCCCTAAGTGGGACATCTATATCATCCCCCAGGGCTCAGGGAGCACTGTGGAGGAAGGGGTGGGAAGACTGTAGAAGCTGAAGGATGAAGGAGCATTGTGAGATTCTGTCTCCTGGACATGACAGGGCCATTGCATTCATGAACTCAGACCTGCACAAGATCAAGCCAGTCAGAATTTCATTGTGGATGAGGGAGGGGCTCATGAGGTCCTATCTCTAGCTAAGGAGCTATTGGCAGTTCATGGCTGCAACACATAAGTCATGATGCATACCTGCAGTCTCAGCACTCGGGAATGGGAGGCAGGAAGATCAGAAGTTAAAGGTCAACCTTGCTGTATAGCACAACTTAGCCTTAGATATATAAAGTGTTGCCACACACACAAAGAAGTTAGCTAATTTACTCAAAGTTACATGGCCAGTCCAGAGAAAATCAAAATATCAACTGGGTTCTGGGGTCTGGATTCCTTATCCCACGAGGGTGCTGCCTTTTACAGTGTGTGTGTGTGTGTGTGTGTATGTATGTGTGTGTGCGTGCACTTGCACTCAAAAAAGCATAGGCAGAAGTTTATAATGGTATTAATAATATTGCTGGAGTCGTTATTTCAGAAAAAAAAGAAGAAAAATAGGAGTGAATAGTATGGTGGATTTCAAGTTTTTATATAAACATATTTCTCACTTAGAAATAAGTATGAATTTAAAAAGAGCTTAAGTACTTTTAAAACATACAAAATATCCAGGCGGTATATAGTGTTAATAAAAATTTATCTGCACATAAAAATGTTTGCCAAGATTGAAAGCTAATACTTCCAGCATTGTATCTGAGAACTAAGGGCTGTCATAGTTCTGCTTTTTTTGTTCTAACTAATTTTATATTGTTTATCCCTTTTGTTGGCCTGTTGGCCCCCTTCTATGGTACTGGGTTGATTTGTAGATTGAATCATTAAATCTAGGCTTTGTGCTAAGCAAGTATTCTACCACTGAGCTGTGTACCAACCCTCCCCCGCTTTAACCTTTTGAGGCAAGGTCTAAGTTATCCAAGTTGGCCTTGACCTTGTGATCCTCCTACTATAGCCCTCTAAGCAGCTAGGGCTATGGACTTGCACCATCAGGTCTGCATCTTATAGGGTTTTTTTTTGTTTTTTTTTTGTTTTTTTTTTTTTGTTTTTTCAAGACAGGGTTTCTCTGTGTAGCCTTGGCTGTCCTGGAACTCACTCTGTAGACCAGGCTAGCCTCGAATTCTCAAACTCAGAAATCCACCTGCCTCTGCCTCCCAAGTGCTGGGATTAAAGGTGTGTGCCACCACTGCCCAGCTATAGTTTTTATAAAGTGCAAATGAGATACATATTCATGAGTTTTCTGTCATGTGATTTCTCTATCCTTGCATACAGTCTACCAATGTAGAGTCAATTCTAAAGAAGATAAAAGTCCAATTCTGCATACAGTTTGAAGTCATTCTATATTCATAATATCAAGTAGTGGTTTAAAAGGAAATTATATTAAATGACTACATTAGGGACCCTCTAGTTTGGTTAATGTCACTAGATGGTTGAGCTAAGACAGCACTAGATTTCATCAGCACTTCCTATCTACGGATCTGCATCCTTGGGTTCAGCTGGCCTCAGATGGCTAGTATAGTTAGGGCATCAATGGTTGTGACTCTGTTGAACACATGCAGAGATCTTCCTTCTGATTACTCCCTAAACAACATGGCAATAATAACAACCATATACAAAATATTATGTTATGTATTAGAAAAAAAACAGAGATGGTTTAGAGGACACAGCTTCGACGAAAGTACTACAAGATGGCTAGGCATGGTGCAGCATGCCTTTAATCCCTTTAATCCTAGCACTTGAGAGGCAAAAGCAGGTAGATCTTTGTGAATCAAGAAAAGCCTTGTCTACAGAGAAAGTTCCAGGACAGCCAGAGTTATGTAATAGAAAGAGCTTGTCAAAAAAGAAAAAGAAAAGGAGGAAAGAAAGGAAGAATGAATGAATTAGAGCATTCTATGTTAGGGGCTTGAGAATCTGTGGATCTATTTTCTCCAGGGGTCTGGAGCCAATTCTCTGAAGACATTGTATGACCACTGTCTCTGCTGTGTACATGCTATCAATAAATTAGCTAAAAATATGAGGAGGAAGGACTTAGGCAAAGACAATCTCAGATTCAGGGCAGGTCATAAAAAATCAGTTGGGAAGGTCCAAATTTTTCCATGGGTATTTATTTATTTATTTTTTTTTTAAAAAAATCTTGGCCTAAGATAGTTGTTTTCTCCCTTGGCTACACTTTAAAGCCACCTGGGAACCGTTAAAGGCCTTGGCCCCATGCTCAGTTCCATTAAACAGATTCTCTGGTGGGCCCAGGGCATCAGAGGTGCAGGAACTCTTCCTGAGTCTCAGGCACAGCTGCATGGAGAGCTGCTACCCCGACAGGATCGATGTGACTTGCTGGTTTGAAGTATGTGTGTTGATTTTAAGAAAGTTATTTATTTTTTTGCTGATGACAGGAAGTAGGGACAGCATGCTGGTAGTTTATCTTAAATGTGGCTTGGATCCAGGCATTTGGATATTGTGGCATGATGCTGTCAAGTGCTACAGGAAAAATATGCTGACAGTTCCATTACTTTGAGAGGTAAGCAGATGCCCTTTGAAAACAAATCGATCAAACGCAAGACAGAGGGAGAGGTAGACAGCGTAGCAGCATAGAGCTGAGCCATTCTATGGCCTGGGATTTGGGAGTGTGCCACTGGATAGGAAAAGTGGCACTTACCAACAAGTTCTTACCTATTAAAAATTGACTGCAGGGCCTCTTCAAAACGCCGCAGGACTTTTGGTGGGGTTGGCCACTTCACATGCTTCCCATAGTCTCTCATGTTCTTGACACCGTGGAATCGTCTGGCTACCTCATGGATGTATGACTTTACTTTATAGCGCCGGTAGTACCTGATTATTGTCAGGGCTGCCTTGGTCCTCTTGTACCGCATGCGGGCCAGGGTGCCACGCCACACCTTTGTGAGAGAGAAAGGAAACTGAAAATATTGCTGGCTGACTAAGTAGTGACTTTGGCATTACAGATGGTCCCCTGCTTAACCAGCTCATCCGGCAACCTGATTGGAGTAAAAGTCAAAGACAATGCAGGGGTGGTGGTGCCATGTGCTAGAGGCAAGTAGATCTTTAGTTCAAGGCCACCCTGGTCTAAAGAGTGAGTTCTAGGACAGTCAGAACCACACAGAGAAACCATGTCTCAAACAAACTAACAAACACCAAAACCACCACCACCAGAGACAAAGCCTGTCCATTCTATCTGTTGCCAATAGATGGCGAAAGGAATCACAGTAGTGCACCTCCCCCCCTCCTCCCAACCAATCATAATTTTACAGAGAAGTGTGTGTGGTACTTAAAGCAGTTTTGTTTTAACTTTATTATCACAAAATTAAGAAAACAAAAATGCAAGTATCTGTAGATGGATAAATATTTTAGGAAAGCTGAGAGGAAGATGAATCAGAGCCAAATGCCATGAGCATCTATCTACAGTGCTTCAGAAATGCAGCTTCACACAGATAACACAACGGTGTGAAGTGGAATGCCGCTTTGGGTTTGTAACCAGATTTACACAAAGCCTATGCTCCAGCACTTCCTAGGTACAAGATACAGTCCTGAGAATTTAGTATACTCCTGGGGGAAAGGGCCAAAGAGATTATCAATATTAAGTTTTCTGAGCATCAGCACTCAGAAATTAATCAGACAATATATAAACACCAAATCTGTCCAAGCATCACATCAGAGATACTTATATTTTTTTCAAGCTCCTGTGTCCAGGTACTCCTCCTTTACAATCTCTTGAGAAAGCTGAATTTAATGTCATCTTTGACGGATCCAGGGCCCTTTTCTGACTCATTCTCTCGATCACTGAATTTGCTTTCTTCCCTACTGTTTCCAGTATGTGCTCTTTTCTGTTCTTTTCTGCTACAGTCTCTGCGACCTCAAATGACTAACCACTCTCTTTGCTGAATGCTCCCCCAGATCCCTTGCTATTCACTGCTGTGCCTTAATCACCCTTAGGTTGCTTGTGTTATTTCTCTCCGGTTTCAACTGTGAATTCAAAGCCCACAGTATGGGTTCTCTAGCCTCCCCCAGGTTTCCTGCAATCCCTTTGAATTCCCATCTGTGCTCCCCGAATTCTCCTTAGACACGTTTGCACCAGCTCCTCTATTTAGTTGTTTCGAGGTTGTCTTCCTGCGGGCTGAGTGCTCACTGTGTGCTGGTAGTGTTCTCCCTCCGCAGCCTGAGGTGCCGCATGCGCAAGCACACAGATTTGTTTGCAGACCACATGGGAGGAGGTTATCAAGGGAGCCCGATGGGTCAAGAAAACCCACCATACATAAGGGAAACATGGTGCGTGAGCAACGTGTGTGATGGGAATCTCGAGTTCACGTATCTCCAGTACTGGAAGACAATGAGGCAATGAAAACCATCTCGTGCTCTCACGTGGCACTGCACAGAATCCTTTTTAGTCTCAGCGGCTCCTTCCTGTAGCCAAATGTGCTGTACAGATGGCTGTGCTACGCCCCCACCGGAGTGCTAAAATAAAGGCCCCTTCTTTGGTATCTTGAGAAACCGAAGGGAACACAAATTAGAGGGTGGAAGTGTGTGATTCAATTTCTTAGACAAAAACACTTCAAGTTTCCTACTGTTTGTGGCTTTGCTTTTCAGAGGGGAGAAAATTGAGATTCTCTGGTGCCCACTCTATATATAAAGTCAATCTTTTAATTTCCAAGAAGCATTTTGTAAAGCTTTTTATTAAAATAGTTTTGGTTGGATTATTTAAAAGCATTCCGGAAGTGCTTTTTAAGGACAAGCTTCATTTGTTCAGTTTGTGTCGTTGGCTTATCTAAGTTTTAGATTGTTGAAAAAAATAGTATAAAAAATGCTTAGCCTAAAAGACAGTAACCCTTTCCCTGGCACCCGAGCTTCCACTCCCATCCTGCATGCTCATTCTTCACAAACGATTTTAGCTGGCTCTTCTAGGACCTATTGTCATATCTGCAGATAATATGCATGTATGTTTTGTTCAAATTGTAAAACCTGGACATTTACCTGTCTCACGAACACTCATACTGTGGTCATATAAACAGCTGTCAAATCATTTTTTAATGTTTATTATGTATACCATATCCTGAACAATCCACACATACATGTATTATATTAGACTATGTATAGCATATAAAATAGGCTTATTGTTGTACAAGGGAGTTTGAGTATTCTCCCATTACCATATATGTTTCCTTTTACTCATAGTTTAGAACTACAGGTACAATTTCTAAACCTCTCCTTTACCTTCTTAGTATATCAGTGTTAACTTTACCAAATGCCTCACAGTCCCATAACCACTGACACTTTTCAGACCAGCAGGCTCATCCACAGAATCCTGCTTCCATTTTCCAAGTGTTGGGATTACAGATGTGAACCAAACCACCACATGCCCACTTAATAAGCTCATTTTAATGAGCATTTTAATAAGCTCAGGTCTAGAGGAGGATCAGAAATTCAAAGTTATCAAGGTTACAGTGAGTTCAAGGCCAACCTAGGTTACATAGTGAGACCTTATCTCAAAAATTAAGAAGCATTTTAACATTTAAAAAATGTGATCTTGTTTCAAAAATAAAAAAAAACAAAAAGTGTTTAGCAAGTGTTAATCCTACCTAAAGAGAGTAAAGGCCACCACCCAAATTAGCCAAACTTATAGCAAGTCTTATTATATGTGCACAGTATAGTTGGTCAGGAGACTGCTTCTCCTTAAATGGGGGGATTTTGAGGTCAGCCCCAAACATAGGAGAAGTGGGGCTTTTACAGTCCCCAAACTACAAGGGCTAGGGGTTTTCCAAGGGATGTCATGTAGGAACTTGGCAGAACATCCTAGGAGGGCATTAAGTCAGGGTATAGGGTGTAGAACACGTCAAATTCCAGAAAATGGGTCAAGGCCTGGTGGAACTCAAGTTTTACAGTAAACATAAATGAACTTACTTTGGCCTTGTAACAAAATGGAGTTAGGCTGGTTTACCAGAAGAGCAGCCAGATACTAGAGAATGTGTCCTGGTTAAGTGGTAGGGAGAGCATGGAGAGCAGGGCCATCAGCATTTTAGGACAGAGGGAAAGCAGGAACATCCCCCAGGGACAGGGCACCAGGACAGTACTGAGCACCCTACCTATTTAGGTACCAAATCTCCACACAGCAGCATGTGATCTTTTATGTCACATCTCTGACCCAAAATGTGCCTTTTCATGTTTCTCATAATAAATGTTCTTCCAATGGCCTGCCTGATACTCCTCCCTGTCTGTCCCCATCTCCTACTGCCCTTCTTCTTCCTGGCTTGTCCCAGACACACTAGCTTCCCTTCTGCACCCTGAACTAGCCAGGGTCCTTCACTTCAGGCCTTCACGCTAACTATTCCTTGTCTGAGATGATCTTCTTCCAGATGCCACATGGGTGACTTTCTTACTCTGGGCTTGTTCAGCTGCCATCATCCTGTTGAAGAGTTTCACTCGTCCCCACCCTCCTTCTCATGAACTCGACTCCCCTGTTCCATGTTCAATCTCTTCTCTCAGCTCTCAGCACTTCCTAATAGACTATGCCTCGGACCTGCTGGAGCACTGCTCAGGCTCTCCTGTCTACAAGTCAGGCTTGACTGGACAAGAGCTCTTTCTCTTTGTTCACTGCCGTGTCTATGACAATGCCAAGGATGCTGCAGTTACTCAGGAAGGAGCTCATCCTTGCTTGTAGAAGATTCCATTAAAGGCACATTGTTCCTACTTTACAACATCTCACTTTCCCTCAGCATATGACTACACTGGGGACTAGCCATTTGTCAGGAACTCTGGAATGTAAATATGTCTCTTTGCTACTAGGTTTCTCTGAGTAAGGGACAGGTATGGAAGATGCGTGTCTTACTCTTTAGTATCTACTCTTTCATGTAACATCCTTGCATTCAGTATTGTGCCTGACCTTCTGAATCTGATGTCCCCAGGCCCAGGACTTTAGACAGTAAACCTGGTGCATCTGTGAGAAAGAGACTGAGGGAGTCTCAGCTTCTTGGTGTTCAAAAGGAGCCCTGGCAGTCCTCGCCCCTTTATGCAGCTCTTACTAGTCTCTTTCCTCAGTTGTCCATCTTGCTCCTCTATTGACACGGCACCTGGCCCTTCCTACAGCTCTGGGAGATGAACGGGTGGCTTCTGCTGTTTGCAGACACTTGGATTTCTCCACCTGCTTAGGGAAATCCAAATGTTGCTCTTGTCTCTCGTCTGCTGTCATGTGCACTAGGACTCTGCTTGTCCCTGTAGTTTTATCTAAGGTTTAGAACTACCCTAATGCTTGGGGGCTGGGGGTGGAGAGAGGAGATATAAACACAATCTCTACCTTCAACCAGGGGTTTTCCAACGTCATCTGGATGTTGTGTCTTTCCTTTGGTTCATGCTTCCTCATGGTCAGGTATTTCAGAGCAACATCTGGCACTTATTACAGGTTAATTGTGAACCTTCGCTTTAGTTTCAGAAGAGGCCAGCTTTCCTTTCTCCATCCCAGATCACCAAATGTTTTTTTGTTTTTTAATTTTTATTCTTGTTGTCATGGGCACTGGGCTTTTCTGTCTTATGGTTAGTACAAATCACTATCTTATACCTTTCTAGTACTCTCTGAAGTGGGCATTCTCTTGGTTCCTACAACGAGAATTCTTCAAAATTTAGCTTCCTAGCCCTCCATAGGTTTTTCATTTGTTTGTTTTTGTTTTTCAAGACAGGGTTTCTCTATGTAGCCCTGACTGTCCTGGAACTCATGCTGTAGACCAGGCTGGCCTCCAACTCAGAAATCCACCTGCCTCTGCCTCCCAAGTGCTGGGGTTAAAGGTGGACATTACCATCATCTGGCCTAGAGACGGTTTTAGAGAGTCTTTCTCCATTTCTCTACTCTAATTGCTCATCTTAGGTACTTTGGCAGGGTCCACCTGTCAGAGAA